GGGGGGGGGGGGGCATACTCGCTTCTGCTGTGGGGCCTGGTCATCGACGATCTCCTGTGGGGACTTAATGATGTTGGGTATTATACAGTAGGATATGCTGATGACATAGCAATCCTCATAAATGGAAAATTCCTCTTGACCGCATCAGAGCATCTTCAAACAGCTCTGTACATGGTCCAACGATGGTGTGAAAGAATAAGTCTTTCCATCAATCGCAATAAGATGGTAATTATAACAGTTACTAGGAAGAGAAATATAAAGGGCCTTAAGGAACTGACTCTCTTCAATAAGACAATCCAGCTCTCTAGCAATGTCAAGTACCTTGGTCTAGAATTAGACAAGGGACATGGAAGAAGCAGCTGGACAAGGTCATTAACAAAGCCTATAAGGCTTTTTGGACATGCAGAAGCATGTTTGGTAAAACTTGGGGACTGCAGCCGCACGCTCTGCATTGGATATTTGTCACATGCTGGGTGTGTCACGTGACAAATAAATTCATGTGGGTCTCAGATTCAGTGAATCTTTACTGGACACTCACACACACTTTACAACTATTAGCACTTGCAGTATTACAATTACTGCTTACACAATATCTTGGCCAATACTTCTGTAGCTCTTTGTGTCTAGATTCCAACTATCTTCAGCGGCAGCTTCCTGAAAACTGAATTCTGTATCTCTTGGCATCTATCCTGAGACTGTCTGTGCGAATGCATTCAACCCCTTTTTATAACCTCGGCTGCTGCTATGCAAACGACCCTCTGTTGTCTATCACCAGGGATACGCTTTGTTGATACTGCAATACCTATGCAACGGCCAACTGTTGGGACTACAATACCACTACTGTCGCTACCTATGCAACGGTCTGTTCTAGAGTTACTATGGAAGTGTCTTCTGGATTCTGAACATGTGGCAATATATACTGCAGTTGTAAGACCCATAATTACATATGGCGCCACAGTATGGTGGCCCAGAGTTAAACTCAAGTCAAGCAAGGCAGAACTTAGCAAATTGCAAAGGTTGGCTTGCCTAGGTATCACAGGAGCAATTCAAACATATCCAACAGCTGCACTGGAGATACTCCTTGGACACTCCCCACTGCATCTACAGTTGGAGGCAGAGGCCAGGGCAGGAATCTACCGTCTCCAGTGCAGTGAACAACTGAAACCTAGATCCGATGGTTTCAGCCATTCATACATAACTCAGGGAATGAAATAAGAACCCATTACAAATGGGGTCTGACAAAATGATACTGAGACATGTATATGAAAAACCCTTCACAGTCAAATTTCCTAACAGGAGTGAATGGGAAGACTGGTTTCGGCCCAATAGAAAAGGGGGACTGATCTGGTATACAGATGGTTCCAAGATAAATAAGGGCACTGGAGCTGGTGTGTACTGCTATGGCACGAGGCAGAAACTTAGTTTCAGCCTTGGGGAGTACACAACAGTATTCAAGGCAGAAGTATATGCCATTATGGCATGTATTATGGAGAATTTAGATAGGAACTATAGAAATAGGAGCATCTACATTCTATCTGACAGCCAAGCTGCAGTTAAAGCGCTTTACAAACATCAGATCAATTCAAAATTGGTCTGGGATTGCCACCGAACCCTCATGGAACTGGCCAAACATAATAGGGTACAACTGATATGGGTGCTGGGGTATGAGGGTATTGCTGGAAACGAAATAAGCAGACCAATTAGCCAAGACTGGAGCTGAACATCCATTCATAGGACCTGAACCAGCCTGTGGCATCTCTATAGGAGTTGCCAGACAGGCAATCAGGGACTGGACAAACAAGAAACACAAGAAATACTGGGATCCTTAAATAGACTCAGGCAAGCAAAGGGACGCATACAAGGACCTTCTACTAAAAGAGCGAAGGAACTGTTAAAGTTAAACAGGAACCAGCTATGAAGGGTGGTAGGACTACTTACAGGACACTGTCACCTCAAACGACACCTGTTCAAACTGGGACTAAGTGATAGTCCCACTTGTGAGTGGAGTCAAGAAGAAAACAAAACAGCCACACATATCCTGTGTGAATGTGAGGCCTTAGCTTATTTAAGACTATGTCACTTGGGTCAATACTTCAAAGCCCCCACGTACAAAATCCTGCACTTCATTTGAAGCGCAGGATTGCTGAGGGTATAATCAAAAGGGGAAGCACAATAGACCACTGTAGGTCGCGATGCAAGGGCCGAGAAGGCCTACCCCTCATACATTCCTTCTTTCAAACCCAAATTTAAAAATACTAGTAATGTAGCAGTTTTTCCTATTGATTTTTTCAGCCTCTTTTTAACAATGGGATTTTTGGAGCAATTCAGTCAGAAACAAACAGGTATGCTAAACAACAAATAAACAAAGAGAAACACCACGTCTCTCTGAAACTAAAATCTGTATGTGCTCAGTGGAAAGAAGCATACAAGAAATACTACTGCTGGATCACAGGACGAATTCTTCATAGAAATTATGCAACAAGAGCTGGCATGTCTTAAGATTGATTCTTGGCAATCCTACATCTAAGTAATAGCGAGATCTCTAATCCCACAGGCCAGACAGACTATGACCCCTTGTACAAAGAGAATTCTACTCTGAATTCCTTGACTACAAAATATGAAAATATGTACATACTAGCAGAAAATCTTACAATTGGTGAGATCATATGTGCATTTAGAGATTGAATTTTCTTCTGTGTTCACATGAAACGAAAGCCTAACAAATATGGTATCCAAATATGTGAATTGTGTGAGGCAGAGTGGCTCTGTGTGCAACATGGAGGTATATACAAGTGAAGATCAAACAGACGGTGAATGTAATACAACATTCAGTGACTGCGTAAGCTGTTCAAAAACATGATGTATGCAGTGTACATGGACCAATTCCTTTCCAAGTCCAAAACTTTTTGTTCTCTTGTAATCTGCAAGTACAAAAGCAATAGGGACAGTCATGTTATACTGTAAAGAAATGCCTCAAATATTGTTTTCAAAAAAGTGATAAAAGAAGAAACCTGATGACACAGAGACAAACTCCTTGTAACCAAATGGTGCGATTCGCAAGCTGTTTAATTACTAACCAAAGCCCATGGTGATTGGATGGTTGAAACACCAGAATCAAGAGGAGCCCAATGAAAAGGCAAAACCAAATAGAGCTTTGACTATAGTAAGCATTAAACTGATGTCAATAAATGTTCCCAAAAAAGCGAAAAAAAAAAAGTAAAACTATCCCTGTAACAGGTCGTGAAGGCCCACAGGGTTGTGAGACGCTGAGGGTCGTACACTATCTAGACAATCAGCTCAAAGATGGTGGCAAGGTTGTCAGCCTCACGCACTGGCCGCGCTTTACTCCGCAAGAAAATTATTTAAATGTACCCAAATGTTATCTTATTAGTACTAAACAATATCAGAGATGTGGCAGAAGAAACTGTTTTTCTACCCTTTGATCTTGCACATGTAAAGTGATATAACAACCACAGGAACGAAGAAAGGAACGTTCTGCAGGCAGACTTGTAATCAGAGATCATTTTGCACATAGGATTCCCACAATAAGAAAAAAAAAAAGACAATTCCAGCATACATGTTAGGCTCGTGTGGACGGAGAGAAATGCCACACACCAAGTCCACTCAGAATTACACCATCTACTGCCAAAAGTGTGACACAGACCTCTGTCTCAGAGACTGCTTTGAGATTAATTTTAAAGTGAATTACTGGGGTCACTATTTTATAACAGACATTGCTGCAACACTTGGATATTTGAAAGTGTGAAACTGCAATCATTCAATTGTTGAACAAGTGTTTATAACATACGCATATGTGTGCATAAATAATTACTGTGTAAGTAAGTAAAGTAAAGCTATCCCTGTACCAGGCCGTGAAGGCCCATAGGGTTGTGAGACATTGAGGATCCCACACTATCTAGACAATCGGTTCAAAGATGGCAGTAAGGTTGTCAGCCTTACGCACCGGCCACGCTTTACTCCCCAGGAATTTTATTTAATTACCGTATTTACGCATGTATAGGCCGCGTGCGTGTATAGGCCGCAGCACAATTTTCAGACAGAAATTATAGAAAAAATAATTTTCTTGGAATATTATTTCAGGAGTAGAAATTATTCCGAAATTTGGCAAATATAATTTTTTTTAAATGAAGTGTGATTTCGAATATAAGCCGCACCCCAGTTTTCCTCTTGAATTTTTGGCAAAAAATGTGCGGCCTATACATGCGTAAATACGGTAATTCCTGGTACTCATTTCTGTTAGAGGCTGAGTAAACCCCAGGGCCTAGTGTGACTGGAAGGATTAGGTCAAATAATTACTCTGTATCAGTAAGAAATGTGAAAAATATGTAAGATTTGAAGCAAAAGAACCCTGTCTTCATGTTTATATAATAAAATCTACCCAAAAACAAAGTTACTTATTTTTAAAAATCCCTTTAAAACCACCGACACTGGGTAAGGTGAACGTTTAAATGGAACCAGGTTTGAAGCATTAAAAGAAATGTACACATGCTTACTTTTGCCTCCTCTTCTACTACTTCCATTCCTTCTGGCTCCTCCAATTCCTTTTTCTTTCTCTTCTTCTTCTTTTCTTTCTTGATAAGAGTGGTGCCCGGAGTGGGCGGTGAAGAGACTGGAGATGCACTCAACTTACGCTGTGCAACAGGAAGACATATCACATGCAAAAATTTCTGGAATACGCTGCTGTTTACTAAGGATGGCCAATCTCACACATTACATACAACTAACTCAACTAAGCCGTGCACTACCAGGCATGAATCCATTATAATGAAAAATGTCTCAACACTATAATAGTTAGCATAAAATTTAATACTGAAAAAAAAAACAGAAATCATACATTTATACATATGAAATAATTTACATGTGTAATCAGTAAATGTCCAGGTGTGCAAAATTATATAAAATATAATTTAAAACATGGTAAAACATGCACAAGAAATGAAAACTTAGGTACCTATAGCTGTATATATATGATTGGGGGGGGGAGACAAAATACTTCAATGTCTGTGAAATTTGTGTCATTTTACAGTACAGCTAATGCAGCAGATGGAAGGACCTTGCTGAAGACACTACAAAAGTATAAACCTACAGAGCAAAGAGTAAGATCACACCAAGTAGACAAGGAAAAGAAGTTCTATGGCTGGCAGAAGCATTAAAATTCCTAATTTGATTAGTTTATAAGTTCTCTGCCTTTTTAACGCAGTCAACTCTCTTGACAAGCTCTGTTCATCAACATTTGTATGGCCTTCAACTCTTCAGGACAAACTCTGGTTGTTGTGCACAGCTGTCCATTTCACTCACATATTTCACAGATGGCTCTTAAGTACACTACAGTGATGTACTGAATTGAGCATGGTGAATATACATTTATCTATGGAAAGGGGAATGAGAATCATGAATAAGGTACAGTTTTTTCTTACATAAGACAATCGTATCAACAGTTACGAGGGTGGAGTTTGTTAGTGATAGGATGTCATATGTAGTACCAACACGTTGCTGGTGTGGTGTCATTGCTCTGCAAGTTCATGCCCCAACAGAGGATAAAACTGATGACAGAAAGGACAGGTCCTACAAAGTACAACATGTAATTGATAAATTCACTAAATACCACACAAAAATTTTCAATGCCAAAGTAGGTAGGGAAGACATTCTCAAACCAAGAACTGGGAATGAGAGTTTACATTAAATCAATTATGACAGTGGAGTTACAGTAGTAAACTTTGCACATCCACAAATCTTGTTTTCAAAAGTACAATCTTCCCACGTCATAACATTCATAAATTTACATGGACATCTCTTGATGGAAAGACACAATCAAATGGACCATATTTTGATAGACAGCAGATGACAATCAAGTGTACTTGATGTCTGACTTTCAGACCAGCAAACTGTAATAGTGATCAGCTGGTGGCAGTAATAGTTAGGGAGAGACTGGCACTGAGTAAACAATGCACAGAGATCATATGGACAGGTTCAATCTCGATAAATTAAATGAGGTAGAGGGTAAAAAGCAGTATCGTGATGAAATCTCAAATAGGTTTGCAGCTTTGGGAAACTTAAGACGCTGAAGTGGATATTAATAGAGCTTGGGAAACTACTGGAAAGAATATAAAAATTTCAGCCAAAGAGAATCTAGGTTATTATGAACTGAATCATTATAAGCCACGGTTTGACAAAGGATGCTCAAAATTATTAGATCAAAGAAAGCAAGCCAAACTGCAGTGGTTACAGGATCCAAGTGAAATAAATGGGGAACAATATAAGACATGAAACCAACAGACATTTCTGAAATAAAGACCAAATTGATGAGCTTGCAAGAAACAGTAATAGTAAAAACACTAGAGACCCGTACAGATGAATAAGAGAGGTTACCAACCTAGAAGTAACTCAGTGAAGGATGAGAATAGTGATCTGCTTGCAGATTCCCACAGTATTCTGAATAGGTGAAAGAACTCCATTATTGAATGTGCACAGGGTCGTCAGTGATGCTAGGCAGATATAAATACATACAGCTGAACAATTAGTATCTAATTCTAGTCCTTCTGATGTTTAATTCATATTGCATGGTTAAAAAGGTATTGTAACATGGATGGCCACAGCATTGCTACATACCAGACGGGTAAGCACATGCAATACATGCTTGCAAGAACGGAATGAGGTTATGCAACCCGCTTCTAGGCAATGGCTTAGTACACAGACTTTCACACAGGCACAATGACATCACACTGCAACAGTACTATCACATGACTTGTTTTCTGTGCTGTCCATGTGGTGCCTATATAACGAATATCTGTTTAAGGTTAAGAGAGGGGGGGAGAGAGAGAGAGTGAGTGAGTGAGTGAGTGAGTGTGTGTGTGAGAGAGAGAGAGAGGGGTGTGTGTGTGTGTGTGTGCATGCGCATGTGTGTGTGTGTGTGTGTGTGTGTGTGTGTGTGTGTGGAGAGTTCAGGAGAGCTCAAGACAATTGAGAGACTAGTGCAGAGCGCTTACAAGAGAAGTGAATAGAAGACCTAACACATGTGTTATAACTGCAGTAATCTTGAATTTGTTACAATTATTTGTAGTTACAACTACTGAAGATCCAATCAACTGATTCAGCAATCCAAACCCACATCTTAGTCACCCAAAAACATGACAGGTAGTGATCAAATTGTGGCAGAAGTGATACAAACAGGAGGTGAAATATTGCGATCTGAGATCCATAAGCCCGTTAAATCTATTTGGAGTAAGGAAGAACTGCCTGATTGCTGAAAGGAGTCTATTATTGTATGAAGGCAAATCTTTGCAAGTCTCATCCCTTTTTTTTTCTTTTCAGCCACAATAATATACATACAGTTAAATCAAATTACAGGCAGTGTTCTAAGTACCTTTGACTACTTTTTCACATAGTCACCACGCCGGTTCAGCCATTTGTCCCATTGCACCACTAGTTTGGAGATGCCAATGTTGTAGAATTCAGCCGGTTGAGCTCGGAACCACCACAGGACACCCGTTTTTGTCGTCGTCGGAAATGAACCTCTGGCCTGACACAAACTTCTTCAGTGGAGTGAACATGTGGTAATCACTGGGGGCAAGGTCTGGACTATACGGTGCATGCTCCATAATCTCCCATCCGAATGACTGCAGTTGTGCCTGGGGATTCTCCTGGATGATGTGACAACACCAGGCCTTGTGGAAAACAGGACTGGCGCCCAGTGATTACCACATGTTAGATCCACTGAAGAAGTTGCTGGCAGGCCAGAGGTTCATTTCTGATGACACGAAAACCGCTGTCCAGTGGTGGTTCCGAGCTCAACCAGCCGAATTCTACAACAGCGGCATCTACAAACTAGAGGTGCGATGGTACAAATACCTGAACCGGGGTGGTGACTATGTGGAAAAATAGTCAAAGGTACTTAGAACACTGTCTGTATTTTTATTTCCCTGTATGTGTATTATTGCAGCTGAAAAAAAATGGGAGCAAAGACTTTTCGGTTTGCCCTCATATCAATTCACAAGAAGGGTGATAAAACTGACTGTAGTAATTATCATTGGGATATCACTGTCATACACTTCATACAGAATTGTTTCTAATATCCTCCTCTCAAGGTCAATTACATCAATTATTGGGGATCAGTGTGGGTTTTGACATAATAGCATTTTAGAATATGACAGTAGGAAGGTCCAGGAAAACCAGGTGGGACTGAAATTAACTGGGACAAATCGGCTGCTGGTCTATCTTTTTTTTTTTAATGATAGTTGGGTGGGACTAAGTCCCTTGTACTGTGGCCACTTCTGGCCTATTGCACCAGCCCCAGATGATAGGCGAGGGTGATTGTGGAGCAACCGGTGGAATGAAGATTGGGAGGGGAAACCGAAGTACTCAGAGAAAACCTGCCCCAGAGCCACTTTGTCCACCACAAACCCCACTTGTCCAGACCCAAGATCGAACGCGGGGCGCCATGGTGGGAAGCCAGCGACTAACTACTTGAGCTATGGCGTGGTCAAGCTGCTGGTCTATGCTGATTATGTGAATCTATTGGGTGATAATATAGATACCATAAAGAAAAACCCATAAACTTTCATTGATCCTAGAAAAATAAGTACACATGTTGCTGTCTGGCCACCAGAATGCAGGGCAAACTCATGACAATGATGGCTAGCAGATGCTTTGGATATGTGGCACAGTTCAAATATTAAGGAATGACAGTAACAAATCAAAGTTTCAATCAGGAGGAAATTAAGAGGAAGCTGAATTTGGGCAATGCTTACTACCATATGTCTCACACATAAAAACAAAAAAATTAGAATATACATAATTATAATTATGCCATGGTTCTGTACGGGTGTTAAACTTGGTCTCTGATATTAAGGGGGGAACATAGGCTGAGGGTGTCGAGAAAATTTGGGCCAAAGAGAGGAAGTGATGGAAGATTTGAGAAAACTGCACAATGAGGAGCTCTGTAACTTGTACTCTTTGTCAAATATAATTAAAATGACCAAGTCAAGGAGGATCAGATGGGGAAGCCGGAAGGAAAAAGACCACTAGGAAGACCAAGACATAGGTAGGTGGATAATATTATAGACAGTGTCACATGACTTCGAACAAGGCCCCGCACTCCTAGTCAAATCCCGCACATAGCTTGTGGTGGGAGGAGTTTCTTAACACTTGTTCTTCCACTTTCACTGACCCCTCGTCTTTCATTGTAACTACCCTATTCTCTTTTCGAAGAACATATTACAATAATACAAATATATTGTCACTCGTCATGCAAAGAAAAATACGTTTAATGTCTATTACTAATTTATACTTTGAAACTTAAAATGTAATAGCCAAATGTAATGAAGAAAAGAATTTAGCCATTCGTCATGGAAATACATGTAGAATTAACTAGTGTGTCCATGTTATGAAATGTAATCCATATCGTGAAAATTAAAACTGGTCATACCGCGTATCTCTTATTTACTCATCATCTTCATCTGACATTTCACTTTCCTCACTATCTGATGTGATGCTTATATTGTATGTCCTGGTGTCGATATCCACTTCCGTTGCAAAGTACTGGTCCTCTCGATTTTCCACTCTATTGCAATATTCTGCCCAGTCTTCAGCGGAAATGGAATTAAATTTCTCCTCTGCTAGATGCATTGCATCGCCCAACTTAAATGTCACGTTCCTTTGGCCCACCCAATTTTTAACGGTGCCCCACACCATCTCAATAGGGTTAAGGTCTGGATAAAGTGGGAGACGTATCACAGTGTCCAGCAGCAGCACAAACAGTGTCTAGTATATATTCTTTATTATCTGACTTGTGTTTTTTTATTATTTCGTACAGGTCTGGTTTCAGTTCCGAAGCCGGATACAAAATGTTCCGTTCTGCCAACTACTGTTTCCTTTCACCTACTTTGGTATTTGAAATTGGCGCTCTGTTTACTTCAATATTATGGTAACTTGCATTGTCAATTATGATCACCATTCTTGGAGGCAAGTTTGGAATTAATTTTTCCTGGATCCACTTCTCAAAGTTTCCAGAATTCATCTCGTGGTGGTAGTTTCCCGTTTTTCTGCCTGACTTAAACATAAGCAAAGCTTTCTCCACAAAACCTTGCTTACCACCACCATGTACAATAATTACTCATGGACCTTTGGCAACAGGAGAGGAGAGTTGTTTTGTTTAGAGAGTCATCCCAGGAGTATGATGATCTGTGGCTACTGGCTACTGTGCAAGTATGTTTCATCGACATACACAATAGGCCGACCTTCTCTGCGATATTGCCTGATTGTCCTCAGATAATGCAGGCATTTAGAATGGGTGTTATGCCTTTCAATCAATGTTTTTATATTATCCCTCATCCTTCTCCAACAAAAACCAAGGCGGTGAACAATTCTCCTGCAACTAGGAAGACTTCCTTCAAATTTTAGGTCTCTTACCATTTTATTGTGAAGTTTGGGCATGGTAACTCTTTCGCCCTCTGTTTTATGAAAGTCACAGATCTCTCTTCTGGTGGCGTCTTCCATAAACTGATCACTTTCCGTTACGGGTTTCTCCTTCTTACGTTTCTTGGTCGATGAGTCAAAGGAAGCACCCTCTTCTAAGCTCTCTTCTTTTCGAATAATTTCATTCAGTGCAGTACGGCCAAACAACTGGTCGCCTGTCACTTCTCACACCCTCGAACCCACCACCTTGTCTGAAATTTTTCTTCTGCGCATTCAAGGTTACTCTTGGCCTTCTTCGAAGTTACGTGACACTTGCTATAAAATTGATCTTAAAGGGCTACGATAGGGTCGTATGGACTGGACTGACCTGGTTCAAGATGTGGATCAGTAAGGGGGGGGGGCTCTTGTAAACTTGGTAATGAAACTTGAGGTTCCATAAAATCCTGGGAAGTTCCTGAGTAGCTGCACAACTGGTGGCTTCTTGAGAAGGGCTCAGCTCCATAAAGTTAGTTAGATATTACTTGTTACTGTGACACTTTACATTAATTTTGTTTCCCAATAATTTATCGTGAATGACAGTGACAAACAAAACAGTGCAATAATAAAACACTCACAGCAACCACAAAACAAACTCAACTGCAGTTACTGACACAGAACGGCTGAATCAAGAAGACACATGATCCAACATGTGCTAGGTTATCAATGTTTGCAACGGCTACATAGGAAAATCACTCTATTTAATTGTCAGATCCCATATCTTATCTTCCATATTTCACTTAAATTAGGTTTCTTTCAATAAAGTATTCTCTTCACAGCCTTCAGGTATTCAAAGTAATGATATTTCTCAAATTAAGAGACTACATTTAACAATCACATCACACAATTAATAAAATGATGGTTTCATAGATCTCAATCCTTTGGGGTGAGGAAAGCAGACAAGACCCATGCTCATCATTCTGTAAAAGTTCAGTGGTATTTAGCTCCATACCTTGCGTGACTGTTCTTCTTCCTGTTCATCCTTCTCTGTGTGAACACTGCAACAAACAACTTGATTACCATGTGCAAATGATTCAGTAACATAATATCCACATGATTCAACCGTGAGACCTACCTATAATCAACATAGCCAGTCAGCCACGAACTTGGTGTCCGTTCATTTGGTTTGCCAAATTTATCCAGCAAGCCTTGTTTGATCAGTACCTTTTTTGCAGATGCCTGGAAGCACAATCATCATGATAGAAGATTCACCCCTGCTACTGTGATGGTGTAAAGCCACCATACTAAAGCACATGAAAATTGCAGACATGCAATTCTGAGCAATGATGCTGTGTCCCACCTGACTTAAAATAACCCAGTTCTTGCCTAAAAATGGAAAGAATGTTCTTCTGCAAAATGTAATTCTAGGAAGCACATGAAATTAGACAATACTGAACATTTCAGCAGCAGTGTATCAAGATCTCAGAGGTTTCACATGAGGTTCTTCTCATTGAAAAGGGAGAAAAACCTCAACATAGGTGAAACTCTAGTGAAGCCTTGCATTTTACATGCTGCAAAAATTGTGCTTGGAGAATCAAACAAGGATAAACTCAAGATAATATCTCTCTCCCATTCCACAATGAAGCACCTAACTGATGCACTGGCTCAAGATATAAAACTTCAAAGTTCTAGAAGAGATCAAATCATCACCATATTTTGCTATGAACTATGAAGATGAGCGAAACTGTGCTCCACTACTTGACTATGCACGTCATATGTGTAATAAAAGCAGCAAAAAAAAAAATGCAAATTTCTCAACCTTAAAAGACAACTACAACAGCAGATAACATATCTCAAGCTCTGCAATGGGAAAAACTGTTGGAGCAGGCACTGGTTGCATGGTCAGGATTTCTGTCAACAGTCAAAGCATGTCACCATGCACTGCATTATTCACTGCCAAGCATTGAGAAGTTGTCAACCATGCGTTAAATTTGAGACTGTCTACCGTGTTGTGTGAACTGGAAGCCAAAAACAAAATTCTGCTATATCAGACTGAAGTTTGTTGGCTATCAAAGGGAATTAAGCTTGGCCATCTCTGGGAGATGAAGAAAGAGGCAGCTTTATTCACTGAATATGTGAAAAAAGAACAACTGCTAGAAGCTTTTAAAAAATGTCAAGTTCAGTTCGGTTTGGCATCTTTCAGATTTATTTGAAACTCTGAACTCAAGGAAACTCGCTGAGACGAACACCACCATTGTAAGTTGTGACTCTCTTCTAGCTTTTATGGCAAAACTATATCTACGGAACCAGCCAAGTTCATATGAGGAATTTCACATCTTTTCCACAATTCAATGAAGCTGTCAAGGATAAGAGTCCTGAGAATGATCTGAATGAAAGCACTGAATCTCATCTCATGGTGATGAATTCCAGAGATACTTTGAGACATAGTATCAGAAAATCCTCTTTGGAAACTGATGAAAAATCTTTTGCCTTTGAAGTTAAGTTCTTGCCAGAGGCCATCCAAGAAGAGCTTTTGGAATTAAAATTTGACACAACCACACAAAACAACTTCCATCACTTAACTTGGTCAAATGTTGATTGAAACACATTCCTGCCCACAGGTAGGCAAGCTCACCTTCATCCACCTGTCTGCATAAGTGTGGATTTTCTGTATTTTCATTGATCAAAACAAGCACTGCAACATACTTGATGTTGAAAGTGACTTGCACTGTGCTGTCCCTCACAACAAAGTATCTCAAAACCTGTAGTAAACATGCAGCATTGGTGTTTACACCGAAAATGTTTGAGGCAAACTAAAATGTGAATTTCAATCTGTTTCATTATTTTTTAAAGTAAAAATTATTTTCAGTTTATGTAAAAACATTATTCCTTGATGTAAGATTAACACTTCGCAGACCAGTGATTTAAATATTTAAATCACCCTGGGGACCGGCATTTTTAAACATACTACCCTAACTTGTGCACTGTTCACTTTAAAAATTAATATAAAATCTCCTAATTAATTTTTTGAACTAAAATTTTTGGAGAACACTTACCAATGTTCCTAGAAGTGCTTGAGGGTGTGATATTTCTGGAAACTTTCCCCTTTGTGAAATGGCATTACCCAGAACTTGCAAATGTAGACATACTCCTTTTTTTGTGAACTGTGCAAACATGGCATTGCCTAGAAGTATTCTCCCCCTTAGAATGTTCACTCTTCACAATTTTCATGAGTGTATTTTACTGACCGCTAACTAAACATTCAAGAGACTTATCATGCATCTGCAGGTGGTTGCGTGCAATGTAGGTGGCGCCAGAGTGATGTATAGTGTGTTGCAACATATTGTGTTCTAATAGCCTGTTAACACGCGCACAGTCCGCCATGTTTAAAAGTGAAAGACCTTTTAAAGGGTGCGGGGTCCGCAAAGTGTTAAGTTTGCAAATACAAACTGAAATTAGATTCATTTTTAATTTTCATATACAATTATTATGCTGTACTTCAATGTGGGGAGGGGTGTGTGTGTGTGTGTGTGTGTAAAGTTTTGTATAGACTGTAAGGGGGACACTAGGTTTAAAATGTTGACAACCAATGCTCTATGCCATGCATGTCCAACTTCAAACAGGTTGTGATCAACTTTTTAGTGTCAAAACTGCCAGTGATCTACCACCCCCTCCTATCGCTGTACCTCGCTTTAAGCAAAAATATTGGTAAAAATAACATGACACATGATCTTTGTTGTAAAAGCAACATACATTGAAAGTACACACTACTTTAACACGTAATTTCCCTTCAAAATCTGAATATAATCATACTATATTACAAGTGAATTTCCACTCTTTCCACGTATAATTTCCTTATAGGCCTATGAGACTGACCAAAAATTGTCCTGCAATCGACGCGTTGGACATGCCTGCTCTATACAAGATGGTTCAAATATGACCGAGACTGATTTGTGTGTAAACAAGCCGCACTGTGCAACAGCTGTGCGACCTTGAGAGAGTGACACCAGAACCTCCACCAGAACCTCCTGTTTGGGTTAGAACCTGTTCAGTCCTGTCTGGGAATTGCTAGAATGATGAGCGAACAGAAGGTACCGCGGAGCGTGGAACAACACACTGTGATCAAATTCCTCGTTGGAGAAAACGTCCCGTCCGCTGAAATTCACCACTGACTCCAACAACAGTATGGGGAAAAGTGTCTCTCACAGACCCGTGTGTTTGAGTGGTGTAAGTGCTTCAGAGAGGGCAGAGAGCACTTGGAGAATGAACCGCATGACTGTCGGCTGTGAACATCCATCACCAAGCCAAACACTGATCGTGCAGACGCGCTTATTCGAGAGAATAGGCGCATCATTATCAAGGAACTTGGAGCAATGCTGTCCATCAGTGTTGGTAGTGTAGAAGACATCGTGAAATACCACCTGCACTATCAAAAGGTGAATGCACGGTGGATACCACACACTTTGATGGACATGAACAAAATGGTGTGCATGCAAGCTGCCAGTCACCTCCTACAGCTGTTTGAAGATGAAGGTGATGCATTTTTGAAGTCTATAGTGACCACCGATGAAACGTGGGTGCACTACTTCATTCCCGAGTCCCAGCAGTTATCACGGACGTGGCAGCATACCAGTTCTCCCGAACCCAAGAGAGCTCGGAGGAGCCATTCAGCAGGAAAAGGGATGGCGACGTTCTTCTGGGACTGGCAGGGAGTAATCCACGTAGACTTCCTGACAGATGCCAGAACAGTCAATGCAGCTTATTACTCAGACTTTCTGGCAACAGATGTGAAGGAAAAGGTCCAATCCAAGCAGAAGACAGATGGAAAGCGGGTACCCTTCCTTCAAGACAATGCACGCCCCCATATGGTCAAAACAATGGAAACCCTCCAGAAATTGAAATGAAACCTTCTGACACATCCACCATACAGTCCCGATTTGGCCCCAAGTGATTTCTACCTGTTCGGAAGGTTCAAATCAGATTTGCAAGGAATGCGGTTTGTGGACGCTGCCACCGTCATCCAGACTGTTTGGGAATGGATACGCCGCCAACCACAAGCCTTTTTTGAAAAGGGCATCAGGATGCTTCCACAACCTTGGAAAAAATATGTTGACTCCGGAGGGTAGTACGTTGAAGACTGACATGTGCAAGTAAGTGTTTGGCAATTATGGTTAAAAAAAAAATCAGTCCGGGTCATATTTGAACCACCTTGTACAATATAATTTCTTTGTTTCCCAGATTCAAAGACTCTGTTCTTTAAAACTTTGAACACAGACATACTCTTACGACATAGAACTTCTGGATTGTTTTTCAGTCATTAAATTTACTCAATTGTATTTCATCGATTACTGGGATACATCGATGTAGCTTTCAATACAGTATATCAACCTGTGATCACATATTATTCACTCGTCACACATGCTCTGGACAGTACCATAAAGACTACAATCAGAGGCACTGCACAATAACTACTTACATTACAGTATCATAAACAACAGCTCCACATGCAAATCTCCTATACCACTTCAGTAAGCAAGCAGCAAGTTTACAGTAATGTTTCCTCTCCCCAAGAAGATGAAGATACAAGATATTTATACTAGTATTTTCAATGTAATACAAGTTTCTTGTGAAAAATGAAATTAAAATCATTACAGATGACACAAAACTGTCAATCACAAATGAAGAAAGTCTACTTCACACCGCATGCAATGTAGGCCATTCTCTCCAGGTATAGATAACAGCATAATCTATACCTTGGGTCCCAAGCCCCACTTCCTGGGATATGTGTCCCGATCCATGATTACACGTTTGATCTTAGCGACGATACCATGGTCACAGCCGGCTATTGTGGCAGTTGTCATGAGTGCAATGGCTGAAATACATAGATATGTTTTAGCTTTCAAGAAGAAGCTATGATGATTGACAATTCTTTCAACTTCTACATACCTAAACACACCAGCAAAAGCTCAAATATCAATATATCTGTATATTCACCTGGCGTATAAATATTAGTGTAACTTCTAGAGGGATATCATAAAAGATACTTTAGGATGGGTGGGCATCAATTGGCTTCATCTGGTGCAGAACTGGAACTAGTAGTCAGCTCTTGCGAACATAATGATGAACCTTTGGGCGCCATAAGATATTGTCAATTTCTTGACTAGCTAAGCAACTATTAGCACTTCAAAAAAGATTCAGTTCCATGGAGTTAGCTGTGTTTATTACACTAAATTAAAGTTGTCCCTGTGCTTAATTAATTAAGCATAACAACATGAAGATGTATGTAGAGTGGAGGTATCGCTCAACCATTCTTGACCTTGGCACTAGGAGGAAGTGGGTGGTAAGCTTCACACCCCAGCTACTTCACCCCTAAGAACTGAATAGAAACTATGTACAAACCATGTATAGAAATGGGAATGTTAGCAATACAGTTCGGTAATGGTGTGTGGAAACAAGTAGTATGTGCTGTAATAAATAAATAAATTAAAGTATTGTTGTTGCATTGATGGTAAAAATTGTAAATGTTCAATGCTCGATGTAGTGCACTGGAATTCTCAAAGCCATCTTCCTGGGTAACACAGAAAAGAGCGAACACTATCTGAAACTTCAAGATCATTTTGTTCAAATCAAGGCATGGCAATTAATGTGAATAAACACTTTTCCAACAAGATGTGGGATACAAGGTGTGGCAATTAAATTCCCCAGATAGCCCTGTGGAAGCAAAATTTGCTTACCTTTGCACTAGTGGCTGCTGCTGCCTTCGAAATAGTTTCCTTGTGAAGCTATGCACTTTGTGAAAAGATGATGCCACTGCCAGAAACAGTCTTGAAAATCGTTTTCCAAAATACCTCTCAGTAACACTGTCACATTGTGTTGGATGTCAGGAATGTCAGAAAATCTTTGTCCCTTCAGGGCATTTTTTAATTCTGGAAAGAGCCAAAATCGCAAGGGGCTAGGCCAGGTGAATAAGGTGATGGTTCATTTTTGTAATGATTTTCTTAGCCAGGAGCTTATGAAATCTTAATGCATCATGCACAGGGGCACTGTCATGGTGGAGAATCCACTTGTCAGGCCACAGTTTGAGTCTTTTCCTCCAAAGAGATTCCCATAACCTTGTCAGCACTTCCAAATAACACTGTTGATTCACCGTTTGTCCTCGTGCAATGAATTCACAGTGAACTATCCCCTCATGATCAAAGAAACACACAAGCATGGTCTTGAACTGCAAGTGAGACATGAGTGCTTCTTTGCAGGTGAGGTGAATTCTGTGTCTTCCACTGCATATGGTTCACAATTTGTCCACATCTGCATCTGTCCTTTGCAATTTTGGCTGCCCATTTCTTGGGTCAACTTGCACATCCTCTTGTCCTACCTTGAACCTCCTATGCCACTTGAAAACACTCAATTTCTTAATAGCATATCCACCTTAAGTCACTCTTAATAGAGCTAACGTTTCACAAGCACATTTACCAATCTTCACACAAAACATGATGTTTATCCGCTGATCCAGATTCTTGTCACTCATTTTTCCGCCAACAGTATACCACGGACTCGTACTACTTCCTCTGTTGGTTGGGAACGGACAACTCATTTGGTCTGTGGCTCATGTAAATGCAAGTTCGAACATGTCCAAATACGCTTGGGTCCATGAGTTTGCCTGACTCAACACCCCAGCAACACACTGCGGCCATTCCAGGAATTAAATTGTCAGACCTTGTACATTTCCTCAGGGAGCAATTTCATGACAAGGTCATTTCTAGCATCCTGGATCATTTGGATTGGATATTCTTGGCCCACATACAATGTTTCTGGCATAAAAATTTACTAGATAAAATGATTCCCTGTGTAAGAAATTAGAATTCTGAAGTACTGCCAAAACTCCCATAACGATATTGTAATGTGGACGGCGCAAGAGGAAGTAGGGGTCACATGGACTCTATGTTTCCGCGAGTGACATCACATACCATCACACCTTCCATCATTATGCAATGCTTGGTAAACACCCCTCACCCCTAGGCTGTGATGTCACACAACAGGGGAGGCCATGCAGCGACTGTTGCTAGGCAATCTGTAAACATGACGTCACACAACAGTGGTACCTATCACATAACTGTTTTCTGTGTGGTCAGTGCAGAAGCTACATAATGAGGAGTATTTGTCAGTGATGAGCCAGTTACTAGTATTGAGTATGATTATTCAGAATGAGTATGAGTTACAAGTATTAGAGTGTTCATCGAAGACAGTGGAAGTTGCGAGATGAAAGCTTTGATTCAGGCAGTAATTGTGAAACTGTGAACTGTGCAAGTGTAAGAACAAGTGTTCAATAAATTCACTAACATCCAAAATGGCGTAAAGTTATTTGTCATGTGGCATAGGAAACACGTGACAACATATTAAATTTTCCCACACATAAAAGTCTGGTGCAAAAATTTTCCCACTTCATACATTCATATTCTTATGAATGTGTTACAAAAAATTCCCATTTAATATGCTTAAAATAGTAATGATGAATTGCAGACACTTTACAAATTTGTTCATAATATGTTCAAAAAGGCTTCACAACCACTATCCATTTCTTGGTAGCCAAACTGCACCACAGTTAACAATCAAATGCAGAACACTTCATAACTTGCATGAACCAACTGACTGTCCATTTTAATAAGAACAAGGAACTGTTAACTATATGTCAATGACATGCAAATGATTAGCATGGGTAGATACTAAACTGTCCACACTGTGCAAGAAATATCTTACTTAGAAACACTGGCCCTTCTGATCTGAATATTTGGTGTTGAAAATCAGTCCTGCCATTTCTCAAAGTTTCACGAAACACAACTGGAAAGCGTGTACACCATAATATAGGACATAATATTACCAAGAGCATTCTCTGAGATATGGTAAGTTTACTTAAAAATGGAAAAAGTAAAATGCAAGCTAGTGACAGTCTCACATATGAAGTTTCAACAGATTCTGTGGAAGGGTTTATGGGATACATGGAAAATATCTTGTATGGCCTTAACCCTTTCACTGCTAGTACATTAAGTAACTCTTTTATAAATAATTTAAGTATGAAAATTTGTCATAAATTGTAACTAATCTTACCTCAGACAGGGAAAAGGTAGCAGAAGTTGAAAAAATGTTGAATTATTCAGTATTTTTCACAGGGGAAAAGTCCATTAAATCAGGGTTGTCCAAGATGGCCAAAAAAGTACATAATTCTCTATCGTAGTCTCATCACTATGTCACATGTTGACCAAAGTCCACAACTTTATTTAAAACTATTACAAAAAGCACAGAGCACTACATGAAGCCATTTTTAACAGCCCTGTGAAATACCCGCGTCACATGACCACGGAGCACGTGCCTCACTGTGCAGATGCAACCTCTTACATTTCTTAAGCTAGAGGGCAGAAGAATGCAGCCATTGAAATGAATGATGCTTCATTATGTTCCCAATAGATAACTCTATGCACCCATCAAGTTTGAATGAGATTGGTGCAAAAAACCTGAGATTTGAAACTCTAAAGTCGCAATACAGGTTTTGTCGAACCCGGCAAGGATGCCATGTTTTTCAGAGACCGCAGCAGTGTTAGGGTTAAGTAAACTAGGATTTCTTTATAATTAAAAAAAATAACTCTGTGGCTTTAGTGCACAAACGAACTACACTGACCAAGCTGTCAGTGAAGTTAGTGCCAATTTTAGGGGATAGAGGGTGTCACATGGTCAGTGAAACGAATCCCCACAGCCATTAATTTCGGTTTTCTCTAATCAACATGCTGAAGATCATGACTGCATGACAATTTGTGGCAGGCATTTACCATGTCAAATTACAAAAAAATTATTCCTGGGATATATGAAAAAGTCCTTTTACAGTCTTATGTAAACTTAGGCATATTGTGAATCAATACGGCTGAAAATCAGAACTGCCCGACAGCTTTTAGTAAAACTCTCCAATATTAAATTTCATGAATCTCTATCAAACAGTATAGGCATTAACACTAGTGATTCATCAACAGAGACAGACAAGAACTCCACATAAGACATTCTTTCTAACAGTCTGTGGCCTGTGAACAATATAATTTATATATTACTGTGGAAATATAATACCACAAGAACCTTCCATTAATTAACATAAGGCTGGAAAGGGTTAACATAATGATAAAATGGACATGCAGCTCAAATGCAAGACACATGAAATACGTGGTGCAATCCAAAAGTTCCCGAAATATATTAATAAAAACTATTACATCTTACCTAGATTTTAATCTGCACCATCACCTTCAAACTAGTCCCCTTGGGAGCACATACACCGATCCCAGCATTTCTGCCACTTTTCAAATGCATCCTGGAAGTCTTTCTTTGTTAGGGTGTTTAGTACCGTCTGCGTTTCCGCTTGAATTTCCTCAACTGTATCAAATCTTCGCCCCTTCAACTTGATTTTCATCTTGGGGAAGAGAAAGAAGTCGCATGGAGCTAAGTCTGGCGAGTACGGTGGGTGGGGAACAACTGCCATCTTGTTTATAGCCAAAAATTCCTGCACAATGTAAGCCGTATGCGGTCGTGCGTTGCCATGGTGGAGTACCCAGTCGTTTGTGCGCCACTTCTCTGGACGTTTTCTCCTCATGTTCTCCCTCAAACGCCGTAGAACTTCGCGATAGAACTCTTTATTGACTGTCTGACCAGGAGGGACGA